GAAGGGGTTCTGCTGCCTTGTGGGGGCCTCTTCCAGCCCCTCCTCTGGTTACCACCCACAAACTAATGGTCAAACCAAAGAGGTGAATCAGCGGCCGGGCAAATACCTCCGGTGCTACGTGTCTGCCCAGCCTACTTCCTGGTTCAAATTCCTCCTGTGGTTCGAACTGTCTCACAACCTGCACGTCTCATCTGCCACTAACCAGTCACCATTTTAGACGTGTTCTGGGTTCCAACCACCACTGTTGAGCAAAGTCAATAAGGTTAGATCTAGCATCTCTCCTTCAGCCTTATCGCTGCCTCTCCCAACTCCAACTTAAAACAACCGGGTCTTGACGCCTCTCTCCATAGCAGCTTCAGACCCATCTCTAAACCTCTATCTCCAAGATCTTGGAAAAGGTTGTGGCTAAACAACTCACATCTGCTCTTGATGAACATAACATCTATGATCTCCAAACACACCCACATCACCCCGCTTCTCCTCCAGCTTCATTGGCTTCCATGCAACTTCAGGGTTCAATTCAAGATCCTGGTTCTGGTCTATAGGGCCTTACATGGACAAGCACCATCATGCATTGGTGTTCTTCTCAGTCCCTACACCCCCAGCAGTTCCCTGAGGTCCAGTGACCAAAGCCTACTGGTTGTGCAACACCAGGCTAAAGGTCAAAGGTGACAGATCATCTGCTGCTGTGGCCCCCAGACTCTGGACCTATCTCCCCTTGGCCTGAGATCAGTGGTCTCCTTTAAACTCACCTGTTCAGGTTTTGGTGTGACCTTCAACACCACCCTCTACTTATTCTGCCTTTCAATCCATTGATTTTCCTGTCTCCTATTCATTTTCTTTCCCCCTTTCCTCCATCTGTCCATCCATTTTCAGCCGTTGGGTCGCAGGGCAGCAGCCTAAGCCAGGACGCCCAGACTTCCCTTTCCCCAGCTACTTGAGCCAGCTCTCTAAGGCGTTCCTTGGCCAGCTGAGAGGCGTAGTCCCTCCAGCATGTCCTGGGTCTCCCTTTTCTATTTCAATTTTTTTCTCTCATTTTAAACATATTTTTAATCGTCTTTTAAATTATTTTCTATACTTAAATTTTTTAATTTTGTGTGAAGTGCCTCGTGATTTTTATCTTGAGAGATGCTATATAAAAGACTATTTTCTTTCTTTTTTTATTTCCCTGCGGCTCACACACTGATCTGCCGCTGCAAACTGGCCTGGATCAAAGCTCGTGCTGCCATCTCCCGCTCCAACAGCGCATACGTCTGCCACCATCAACACTGCCATCAAGCTGGCCACTCCTACCACTCCGGCGACAAGGTCTGGCTCTCCACCACCAACCAATGCTGTGGAGAGCCCTACACCATCACCAAAGTCAATAACCCGGTGCCCTCAAGATCCGAATGGTGTTCCACGTGTCCCTGTTCAAGCCCTATGTCTCCTCCCCTTTGGCTCCCCCTCCAGGCCCAGCTCCCTCTATTCGCTTCGAGGACAGTGAACTGGTCTACACCATCTGGCGGATCCTGAATGCCCGCCGTCAGGGTCGCAGCTGGCAGTTCTTGGTCGACTGGCAGGACTACAGCCCTGAGGAGCGCTCCTAAGAACCGTCCCGCACCATCTTGGACCCTTCCCTGATCACTGACTACTGGTCCGCCCCTTGTGGAGGGGGTACTGTCACGGATTCCACCCGCCAACATCCCTCCAGATGCCAACCTCACACCTAGAACTCCAACTCCCAGCATTCCCTGCACCAGAACCTTCCTCAACACATCACCACTCTACCTTATATCAGGAGGTACCCATCACCAGCTCAGGACTCAGTCAATGGAGTTTCTTCACCTTGTCTTGAGTTTGGAGCCCTCCGGCTCCTCTATTGCCAAGTCTATCGACTTTCCAGTCTTTTAAATTTGATGGCAAGCCGTCCTGTTTTCTGTAATATTTAATCGTTAGTCATTTTCAAAGTAAGGCGGGATGGCGTGCTGGTTACTATGCATCCAGGCAAGTGACTTTCAAGTGTGTCAGGAGCTACTGGTAGCTCGGGAGCGATGTGTTGGAGACCCCTGATCTCAAGGCTCAGTAACCCATTGCATTTAGCTGATTAGAGAGTGACACTTTCAGTCTAGAAAATGTAACCTGTTCACAATATTGTAAACGTCTGAAATGTAGAATGTGGGATTTTCATAAGCTGTAAGCCATCATTTGCGCAGTTATAACAAATAAAGGCCGAAAACCTGGCATTACTTAAAATGAGCCTGTTTCAAAGATTAGTTTCATCTTTAAGATGAATCACTGACATGAATGAACTTTTGGACCAGATTCTATCTTTTCAGCTTTCACCAGTAGAACCAAGGATCCACTCTGGGTCCTCATTGTCTTTACATGTGTCATCAGAACCAGTTGGGTACAGTGATGTTCCTGACAGTGGCAGGTGGAGCTTCATCCTCAGAAAGGAGAAGCTTGGTTCTAGACTTCAGAATGTCAAACTTTAGATCTTGGAAGATGAGAGTGACTGGAATCAGATCAGATCACATTAAATCAGATGGAGTTAGATCAGTTTCGATGTTTTGTCAAAGGTGGGAACTAAAGCTCCTTCTGGCAGGAGACTCCAACAGACGTTCTCAGCAGACCCTCACAATACATTTAGGCCTGCCAGAGCATGCTCCCTCACCAGCAAAGCCAACTCATCACCAGGTAGTGCTCAGTTGACAGCTCCGCCCCTCTCTCCACCCAAGTGTCCAAGACATGCGGCCGCAGACTAGATGAGATGACAACAAAAAGCACGTATGGACACCTTTATGTCTGAACATGGTGTTCCTCATGGACAATCCATGACTGTCCAATAAAAAACACCTCTCAGATTCAAATAAGGGGGGCGTTTCTCCCAACCACAAGGTGATGTCTTGCTAGGCCAAGCGCCTTGTTTACAAGTAAATAGGTAAGTAAGAAAACTTTATTTATATAGCACTTTTTACAGAAAGTGAATCACAGACTGCTTCACATAAGTAAAAAAACAAATGACCTTAAAACAAAAATACATTTTAAACAGAAATCTAAGTAATAAACATTTAAAATGATCATAAATATCATAAAACAAATGAAAGATCGTTACAAATTTGAGTTAAAAAGTAAGAAAACAAAAAATATAGGTTAAAGCAGCTTTAAAAAAGGGTCTTTGGCAGCTTTTTTAATGGTGTCCAGGCTGTCAACACTACTTAAGGATAAGGAAGTTCATTCCAAAGTTGTGGTGCGACAGCCGAGGGCACTTGTTGGTTAAATAAAACGGTTAAGTGGGACAGGCTTAGCTCAAGTGACCGTGGCTCCTGCGGCGGTCACGTCACATCACATGACACATGATGTAAAGTTTTGTTTTATAAGTTTATGTTTCAATATAAATGTAAAAAAAAGCCTTTTACTTTTTTAATGGTGTATATTTTGGTTTAATTAAATACATCAGTGAGTTACTGTCTGCCAGCCACCGAAACTGCAACTACTGAGCAACTGATCAACTAACGACAACTGCTTTGGATCTAAAAAAAACATTTTAGATTGCTACAATTAGTTGACTTGCATTTAAACTGGAAATTTGCCCCCGAAGTAGCTGCTGACTCCTGATCCACCATCCTTTTGAAAGCACAGCGCTGTATTTCGGGAAAAGTTTGACCAAGGCCAGGTTACAAGACACCTCCCGTATATCCTTGTTCAGTTAGCTAAACGGCTAACAACCGGCACCTGAACACTGGAGCTCGTTTCCCAGTTGGGTCATACCAAAGACTTTAACAATGGGACCCAACGCCTCGCTGCTTGACACTCAGCTTTAAGAGGTTGGATCGGGGGTTAAACCACCAAATAGTTCCTGAGCACAGCCACCGCTGCAGCTCACTGCTCCCCTCCATGGGGATGGGTCAAATGTAAAGATGAATTTCACCAGTGTGTGATGATGACTATGGTACTTGAACTTTAACATTCCAGCTGAGGGAATAACCTCTAAATTCAATCACATGTTAAACATACAAACAAATCTCTTTTCTAAATGTGTTATAAACTGCTTCAGAATGAGACCAGTCACCACTGCACTCTTCTACGTCCTGGGTGACTCTACTTACCCACTGCAAGACTGGCTTCTGAAACCATTCACTGACATGGGGCAACTGATCAATCATCAATCAATCAATCAATCAATCAATCAATCAATCAATCAATCAATCAAAAAAAAACTTTAATCATCCCCGAGGGGCAATTGTTTCAGTACAGAAGAATTGGTACTGTGGTCATTTGCAACAGATAATAGATGAAGAGGGGATTACATGAGGAGAATTGGGGGAGGGAAAAAAGGCCGAGCAGAGTTACACCCAGCAGGGAGTAGCTCTACTATGCAAAAAGCGACTTCACTTCAACAAATAATTCAGCCGGACATGAGTTGTAGAGAATGCCTTTGGTAGCCATGGCTGTGATGTGAGTCTGGTGAGATCCACGGTTCTGACCTGCTGTGCTCTAATGACAATGTGTGCACAATAGCAGGAGACTGTCCTGAACCTTCTGTGACATCACTACATACACACTGCGTGACCAATCACAGGGCTACTTTTTCGGGAGGCATGAGGCGTCACTTGACCAATCAGCCGGCAGTGGGCGTGTCGGCCCTTTTCGGCTCCAGGCAGACCTACTTGGGATGACGGCTGAAAAGACGTTTGGTTGGCCGTGGGACAATTCAAGGCTACTTAAATGAGAACACTTCCAACCCGGTCCAGGCGGAGTAGAGCTGATGCTAGTGTGTAAGGGCGATATCTCTTTTTCTTATATTATGGGATGTCACATCTTGTAACATTAAATGAGGACTGAAATGAAACCAAACAAGTAGAACTAGGAAAGAGTATACATGCGTTTAGGAGAGCCTGAAGTAAAAACATGATAATGTTGAAGTCTGAAGAATTCCACTCTAATGGGACATTTTAGTCTTTCCAATGAGTGTTTAGTGTCTGCTGAGAATCTGATGGTTGTGCTGCTTTTGTCAGGCTGAAGGTGGTCCTGGAGCAGATGGACCGGGGTGTGATGGACCTGCAGGAGCTCCGCAGGAACCTGGAGCTGGCTGCAGCCATGTTGGACACCATTTACACGGATGAAACCAGGTGACAATGGGCTGGCTCAGCAGGTAAGAGTAAAGGACCTAATCCATGACTCACCCCGTTTTGCTCCACAGGCGTTTGTTGGACACGGAGGATGAGCTCAGCGACCTGCAGTCGGATTCAGTGCCGAGTGAAGTACGTGATTGGCTTGCGTGCACATTCAGCAGGAAGATGGGTGTGGCAAAGCGTCGGCCTGAGGAGAAACCTAGATTCAGGAGCATTGTGCATGCAGTGCAAGCTGGGATATTTGTGGAAAGGTAACTGATCTATGTCTGAGATTTCAGATTTAGGTGAAGATTTAAATGAATACTTTCATTCAGTCAACTCAAAATAACACGGATGAACCGGGATCTAAACACAAGTTTTCTTACTGATGTAGCATGAGTCACCATTCATTTGTTCGTTCGTTCGTTCGTTCGTTCATTCATTTGTTCATAATAAAAGTAAAGGTTGGTAACTTCTGTGTCACAGAGTGACTTGGTTTACATGGCCCCGCCCACTTCTGCTTGGGACCACAGGAAGGAGAGCACAGAGCGCATTTACAGCTAGTAGAAGCTAATCATTAGCATTAGCTACTCCAAAACAAATGCAAAGCAGTCCCTGCTAGCCAATCAGGTACCAACCTTTTACATATCATGAATATTAATGAGCAAATTTTGTAATGCATGTCCTTGCTCCCAGCAGCTGTTGGAATCAACACTGCTCCCAACAAAACCAGTAAACCTTCTTTTTGTGTCCCTTCATCTCTGCTGCTTTTTGTGATTTGCACATTTTCTGTTGTTCTACCTGCAGAAACTCGTGGTTGCATTTCA